CTGAGGAATGAATTACATCACCAGCTTGCCTGGGTCTTCAGCTGGAGAAGGTAGGTCATGTGACTGCTCAGCCTCCACAGTCATGTGAGGCAAATCCTCCTAATTAATTAATGTCTCCTTTTGCTTTTGTTTTCCAGAGAACCCTGACAAATACAGGAGCCTTCCTCTTCCTCACTTTCTAGATTTATTAGTGTTCACAGAAAACAAACTGTTCATCATAAAACTCATTATTATTTGTGGACAGTACAGTATTTCTGCAGTAATTAGTTAGTGACCCTTACATGTATGAATTCCCAGTAGTAGCATCTGACTTTCTGACTTCCCTGGAAATACTTTTTTTTTTGTCTCAAAAAAATAATCTTGTGCAAATACCCAGTTACTATTTATAAAGGCCTTGTGAGGCAGACATATGAGGTACTACTCATACCCTGTTTTCCAAATGTGGCAGAGTCCAAGTGCTCATGAGCACGTAACTGGTCAGACAAGAACGGGCACTGGAACACTAGTTCTTTGATTACTTATCCAGTGGTGGTGTTTTTTCCTATGTTACTGTAATAATCTGGAATAATACTTTTCTACTTCCAGTTATTCTGCAATGGTGTTTTTAAAGGACCTTCCACATGGGGTTGACTGTCTCTAACACGAAGACAACCTTAGTTTCTGTGGATGTGGGCTGTGGCTCTCTATTGCTAATAGGTTGTTGGAAGAGGTGTGGATTTTTTCATCCCAAGGACATGACTCATATTTTCAGAGTAAAAAGATGGAAATTTTCATAAATCTTTTATAATTGATCTCTTCCTTATAAAGTTGATGACTTCCTGGTCCAAGAAAAAAAAATAAAATGGCACAAGTATCTTTAAAGTTGGAAAGTACCTCAAGACAACTCTAGACAAATAGGAATTAAATTGTACCACATTCTTATCACTCCTTCTTAAAAGTTAGCACCATTGGAAACTAGAGAGCTTGCTGGCTGCAAACTGCGACCTCAGCCCCCAGGATTCTTCAACATGTCCCTACATCACAGTTGTGGTGACAATAAGTCCAATCTTTTGTGCCTTGAGGCTGCCAAAGGGTGTTGGCCTGACTGCCACCGAGTGCTCATTACAAGCCAGCTGGCTTGATTTTCCCCCATCTCTCCAAGTCGTTACGAATACTGTTTCATGTTGAATGAGTTCACTTACATATTTTGAAAAAAAGCTTTCTGTGAAAACCAGAGAAGGGCATTATTTTTTATTGAAATAATTTATACCTAAACATGCACACAGTTTTGTTTTGATGTACACAGAGCAAGAACAAGACTGAAGAAAGCCGTGCAGCTCACAAGATCCTTTTTATTTTTTTCAAAAAGGCTAAAGATTAGAATATTACTTGAATGCCTACCTCCAGTGTTGGAGAAAATAAAGAAAAATGTGATACAGATTTGTGAGGTTTGCACATTTCATCATATTAATATGCCATATAGGTGATTACTATGATCTAAGTTAATAAAATTTGCAGGACAAGGTGCTAATACTGAGCCTTAAAATATCATCTGCAGTTTGATTTTAAAACACATACTAAGCATAGGCTTTATACTCAAAGAAGGACCAAATGGTCAGTTCAAAGATATCCAATAAGAGATGTACAAGGGTGGTACAACATTCAGTTATAAGGCCTTATTAGACCAGGTAGAAGACTGAAGTTCATTCAAAGTAATAATGTTCTTTGAAAACTGCTATGCTTTAACTATATTAAGTTTCTTTCATTTTTTTTAATCATGCACGTTCATACCTCCAGACTGCTTCACACATGCTTTTCCTAACTCCTACTAAATCTTCAGGTTATGGTTACAAGTCACTTACATTAATTATCCTGTTGTATGTTACGAGAGTAATCTTCATTGTATCTTACTAGAGTCCTTACTAAAAATTGTTGTAATTATAAACAAATTGTTCATCTTTTCTGCTAGAGATGGGCTCATACTAATCAAGAACTTTGTTGGAGTTTCTTTGTATACACAGTGCTTATTGACATGGATTGGTATTCAATAAATGGTAATAAGCACTCAATTAAAAATTGAAATATATAGATAGATAGATAGATATAGAATGAATTGAAAGTCCAGATATTAGGATTTGAAATTGTTATTGGTCTTGTCTCAAGCTTCAGGTCACAGAACTTAACCTATCTTTCTTCTTCCTTCTCAGTTTTGAAAGCCAGATTCCATGTTAAAGTTTGAGGATTTACATTTATATTAAATTTTCTGACAGCTATAGAAACTACTCATCACCCTTAAGGTGATAGAATAAGAAGCAATTAATCTATATATAAGATATAAAAACAATATGGAAAGCAGTTTTAAAACTACCTTAATTTTTCCATTCATCTACAGAAATCCATAACTGTGAAAGGAAATTAAGATATTGTTTAAGAAAACAAAGATTACCTCATAGTATTTTTTAAAAGAAATACTGACTGTATGCTTTTTATAAGATTTGTGCTTTAAATACAAGGAAAATATATAAATTCAAAGTAAAAGGATGCATAAGCTAATTAGAGAATGTAATATAACTTCAGAATTTGAAAAACAAAAGTTAAATATGGAATATAATTTTGCACATGAAATATTTATCAACATAGATAACATATTAGGCCAAACCACATATAAACATATTAAATATCAAAAAAATGTATGGAGTATCTTTCTGAATACAATGGAATTATACACCAAAAACAAAGGCAAGTAAAAAATTATCAAGTGTTTGAAAACTAAAAATTACATGACTCTGACATAATTTTCCTATGTACATACAAGAAAATATCACAGTGAATCCCACCATCATGTACATCTACAAGACAGGGGCCTATCTAGAATAAGATAAATCCTATGCTTGTATAATTATTTCAAAATGGATTTGAGTATCATGTGCAACTAAAATTAACCAATAAATTTTTAAAAATTTAAAAAGAGAAAATAAAATTGACATTATTCATCAATAATAGACATGTTTAATTTGAAAGTCCAAAGCATTTACAAAGAAACTGTTAGAATTAATAGAAATTCTGTAAGGTCACTGGATCTACAGAAATAAATTACATTTCCATATAAAAGCAACTAATTGGAAAATAAAATTTTCAAATGTCATTTTATAATTACATTAAAACATTAAGTATCAAGAAATAAATCTCTCCATGTATATGCTTATAGATTTATAAGCACATAGACATACAAGATTTGTTACTGAAAAATTACAATATATTACTGAATGATTTAAAGTGATTTATTTTGTTTCAGATTGGATTCACAGGTTAATAACGAATTGGAAGATTCATTATCATTACTGTCATCTCTTCTCTAATTGATTTATAAAATCATTTTGGTCCAATTAAAATTCTAGCAGTTTGTGCCGTGTGTGTGTGTGTGTGTGTGTGTGTGTTTAAATGTACAAACTGCCTCCAAAATGTATATGAAAACAAGGAGTAAAAATAACCATGATAATCTTGAAGAAAGAATTGGAGGGTATACACACCATCATATATAGACACATTTTAAAGGTACAGAGATTAGGAAAGATTGGTATTGGTGCAAACAGACTAATACTCCAATTAGGAAATAGACCAAGCCACACATAATGGTTTTATTTAAAGCAAATTACTACTGCCATTCAGTGAGGATATTATTGTTATCAGTAGACTAGATAAAGAGTTCGGGGTATATTCTGATAATATAACAATATGTGACAGTGGGAAAGTATGGAATTTTGTGCCACATGACAATGTTAGTGAATCTCACAGATGATGTTGAATGCAGATATTTATACAAAGGTCAAAAACAAGAAAAAACATGATAATAGAGATTAAATATTGGTTTGCTTTGGTAGGTTTTTTGACTATAAAAGATATGAGCCAGCCTTCTAGAGTACTTATAATGAATGTTTTATCTGGGTTATGGTTTTATGGATGGAGTACACATGTAATACCTCAATCTAAAAAAAGAAAAAGAAAAGGGAGAGAGAGTTAAGTAGAGAAACTTGCAAAACAAAACAGACATAATCAACAGCAAGAAAACAAGAACAGAAGAAATCTGAGAAGAATCTCAAGAAAAGAATAACCAGGAGAGTCAGGGAAAGAAACTGGGAAATCATTGATTTAGCACCGAAGAATAAACTGATGAGAGCTTTCAATGAAAAGAAAGGCTGAGCCCAGTTTCCAGTGATTGTGAGCAGAAGGGGAGAAAGTACTACATAGAACTGAAACCCTTTAACCCCACTATCCAGGCAGGGCAAGAAAGGAAATAGAAAACGGAGAAGGATGTTGGATAAAAGGACATTGTTTCATTTTAAGTAAAAACGAGGCTGTGGATTATCTTAATATTCATAAATCCCATTTCTAACACAATAAATCTGAGTCTCATCTGTTGTATTTGGCAAGGAAATCTCTGGGTTTTGATCAGAAAAAAAGAATGCATATTTCCCATGGAGTTTGGAAAATTACATTCGATTATTAAATTTGAATTATTCAACTCTTCACTAAAAGCTAACCAACCATAGAAGAGTTTGTTTAAACATTTCTAACTAAGGGAAAGTTTATGGAATTAATTGTCCCAGAAATGCATACCAAAACATAGCCCTGAACCCAAAAATCTGTGAATCTTCTCTTCACTGTCTTGTGAAGGATGGAACTCTACAATCTGATGATAGCTAAGTGCTAGCTTAGCTTCATTTTTTAAAATTATTCCATGAAGTTCAGTATTATCACAAATGTTTTGGTAATTTTTCCTCCTAAGTCCCTCTTCTCTAGAAACTTCCAGTGATTTAAAAAAAAAAAAAAAGACATGTGTTAGTTTAATTATGTACTGTAGCCTGTTTTATATTAATATTATACATTAATTTTATAAATTCAATTAGAACTTCAAAGAATTATTATAGACTTTTGTTTTATCAATAACACCAGAAATACACAGACATGGAAATATATCAGCCCCTCTCCCTGAAAGAATACAAAAATAGTAAATTACTTACAATAATATGCTGGTAAGGATCTATGAAAGACATTTTGGTTTCAGTTACAGGAATTTTCACACTTCAAAGGTCTTCTTTGGCACTCCAACTTCTTCAAAGCCTACAAAAATAAACAATCACTATTGGTAAGCTTCCTCTTGGATGCAGTTTGGAGATATAAATGATGATAAGGATGAGTCTCAAAAGTGTACCCAAGGGGACCAGATGAATTGAATTTCCCACTGTGCATATGAATGAGTACACACACATGACTTAGGGAAAGGACGAATATATTTTGATAGTAACATTTAATTTCCATATTTATTTGTTCAAATTTGTTCTGAGTAAAATTAGGAAACTACAGGGGCTTTTTTGCTTTCATTTGCAAAGTAGTTTATGAGAAATTCATTGAAATTACGAAACACTGAAATTATTTTGGTGCCACTTATAATGGTACCAAATGGTTTCTTTTCTCAGTTGGTCAGCATTATACAAATTCACAATAAGAAATAAATAATTCTTTTACCTTAGCTATTTGTTAGGAATTTAAAATATACATTCACATCGAATGTGAACTTTAGTAATGACATTTTTTTTCTTTAATTTTTATTGTTGGTTGTTCAAAACATTACATAGTTCTTGACATATCATATTTCACACTTTGATTAGTAATGACATTTTTAAAAAAAGTTTGTTCATTATATATAAGGCAGCAGTTTATTTTAGAAGCAGTTATATGAAAATATTCTATTAGAGAAATATTCTCTTGTACTTTTTTTTCTCTTCTTCCACAATTACTCCATATTATTTAAATTAAAATAAAAATTAGTCAAGGAACATCTTTGTTATTTCATCACAAAATTTTTCCCTAAAATTTTATATAATGACACACACACACACACACACACACACACACACAATGCAACATTCTATAAGTAACATCTAATTTGGAACATCTATTTAAATATCTTTATTATTTATGTAGTGTGTAAATTCTGAAATATATTTATTTCAGAATAAAACACATTTGCTTTTAAAATTTTAACCACTTATTTATTTATTTTGGTACCAGGGATTAAACCCGGGGGTGCTTAACCATTCCATGCCTTTTTATTTTGAGACAGGGTCTCACTTAGTTGCTGAGGCTGACTTTGAACTTGTGATCCTCCTGCCTCAGATGGAGGCAGGGATTACAGACAGGCGCCACCGCACATGACTCACTCTTTCTTTTTAAAATATCACCTTTTTAAAAAAATTATAAAAAATGTTCTATGCTCATTGTTTCAATACAAACTGCTGAATTAAATGAAGAATAAAGGACAAACATTACTATTATTCCAAGCTATATCAACACATTTTCATATATTTAGAGTAAAAGGAAAAGAGAGAATTTGAGACATTTTTAACAAAAATAGGCTCTCCTCATATGCCATTGGTTTTTTAAACTCATTCCTTCATCATTTTTTAATGTGAAATCTATGAAGCAGTAATATAAGAAAGGTAAAAATGACCCACAGTCTTCTATTTTAAAATGATCAAAAATAAGAATACCTGGGCTGGGGATACAGCTCAGTTGGTAGAGTGCTTGCCTCACATGCAAAAGGCCCTGGATTCAATCTCCAGCACCACACACACACACACAACACACACA